ACGACAGCATCGCGATGGGCCGATACGAATTGTGATCCGACGCGGGTTTATCAGGCTTTTTAATGGCTATCACCCTCACTTGTCTCCAATCGTCGGGAACAATATTGAGCTCCAAGAACTGATTGTACAAGTTCAACATGCGCCTCTTAGCGACGTCTGGGAGGTTTTTCAGCAAGTTGAACTTGATTCTATCAGATCCCGGGGCAGAATTGCCACACGAAAGGAGAGCGAGTGAAAGTTCGACCATTGAAAAAGGCTGACTGATTTCGTCTACCGAATTCGCGGTTTCGTGAGGAATCAACTGCGACGGCACGGAATCTGGACACACTTTTCGCGCGAATTTAAGAATCCATTGATCAGAGCATTCCTCGCTTTCGTTGTTAGTAGACCGGTTACGCATTCTTCGCGCCGTACTCCAAAGCGTATTCATAGACGTTTCGCGCGACAATCCGTCTGCAAACTGCCGCCAGTAACCCCGTTTTTTGGCCTTGATGAGGCTCTTGAGTTCGCGTTCAAGAGATGTGTATGCGTCGAAATGCTCGCGTGTTCCGCGTTTCCGAAAAAGTTTAAACGCGTCGGACTTTTTACGGTAAACCTCCGTGCATTGTTGATCCCACCAGAGCGACGGTGTTTTCTTACGAATTGACGATCGCGGCACCGGTCGTGTTTGAGCTTGAAGTGCGCTGTCGACGATGAGATTAGAGAGGAAATTATATTCCTCCAACGGCGGAAGCTCTTCCACTGACGATACTGTATCGTCTATCGCGGATTGGAACTTAGTCCAATCGATGTTACGGGTTAGATCATACGCGACGTTAACGGATTCTGACGAGTTGAACCCACTGGCAATCGAAATTTTGATCGGCAAATGATCACTACCGTGCGGATCCTGGATTACATGCCAAGTGCAATCCAACGATAGTGAATTGGAGCAAAAGGTGAGGTCTAATCTGCTACCATTCGAGGATGGACCAGCCAAACGTGTTACTTCTCCATTGTTAAGGATTGTCATGTTGAAGTTGTCGCAGAGATCATAAATCAAAGTAGAACGGTTATCATCGTACAGTTCCCCCCAGCCTGTACCGTGGGAGTTAAAATCTCCCATGATCAACCATGGAGCGGGAAGTACCGCACATATGTCGAAAAGTTGTTTGCGATTAACAGAGACTCTAGGAGCAATATATACAGAAGCAATACAAAGGCTCTTACCTTTAATGGTAGCCTGACATGCGACAACTTCAATACCGGGGAATTCGGGAAGATTCACTCTATAGAAGGAATGGCACTTTTTGATCCCCAAAAGTACCCCTCCTCCACGTGAATCCTCACGATCCAATCGAATAATGTTAAAATCGTAAAAAGGGAGATCAATTTCTGAAGAGAGCCATGTTTCACAGAGGGCAAATGCATCGCAATTATTGTTATGGACTAAATACTTGAACGAATCTAATTTCGGAATAAGACTTCGACAATTCCACTGTAGAACAGTGATCAAATCCCCGACCTCGTTTGGAAAATTATCCATCGAAGGAGATGATAGCTGCAAGAAGGGGCCATTTTGAAGTCAATTGCTTCAAGAAGGATTTCACAGTCGGAAGCAATGTGAGAACAATGCTTTTCAGAGGATCAGAAATGTTGAGGTATTTGAGAATACCGTCCACAATGTCATCAAATGAGAACAACCCAGATGAAGAAGGGGTTTCTGTTCTTAAAATTGGGGCATCAGGGGTTTTGGATGTCCCCGGAAGTGGTGGAAAATCCTGGGTATAGTCAGTTCTGCGGAATCCAGGAGGAGTAGAAGTCTCCTTTTTTCCACCACTCCTTGATTTAGGCAAGCTGATTTGGGGTTCTTTATTTGCAACAATCCGCGAACGGATGCGCTTTCGTTTCCGTGCAGAACCTTCCGGAAAACTGAAAGAAGTTCCCTCCTCAGCCAAGTCAGAGTCAGTCTCGTCATCTGACAAAAGAGAAAAGGGATTTTTGTCATTGGTCGATGGCGTGGCTGTCTTAAGCATTTCTGCAAAAGACCGCCTGGAACGTTCCTTAAGGGAGCGTTTCATTTTGTCCCCGAGCTGTTTGTACGCCGGGCACGACGAGAGAGCATGAGGAGGAATTCCTTTGCAGTACACGCATTTTGGTGCAGTAGCTGCGCAGGCGCCATCCTCATGCTTCTCTCCGCATTTGGAGCAGCGTGCCTTGTTGCTGCAGTGGGAGGCCGTATGTCCCAACCGCTTACAATGCTGGCAGTTCATGACCCGAGGTACAAACAACCGCACAGGAAGACGAAGTTTTCCCAGCTCGATGTATTGAGGAAGGGCAGATCCAGAAAAGGTCACCCGAAACGAGTCTGTGGGGGTAAAACTCTTTTTACCCTCGCTGAGCGATACTGACTTCATTCTATGAACGGCCAGTATCTTTACCGGAGGAAGCAAGGGGTTCTTGAATCGGCCAACCGCTTGCTTCTCCAGTATCTCGGGGTTCAGGCTCGCCTCAGTAACCACGCCTTCGATCTCCACATCAGAGGCTGGAATGTACACCCTATATTCCAGTGTGAAAAATTGGGAAACAGCAATTTCATTGGCCTGTTTCAGGTTAGCGACGGTCACACGAAGTTTGTTGTGCCTAACCTTCGTTATTTCGGTCACGGCAGAGAATCGTTTTGTCAGATCATCAGATATCTGAACAACATTCAAGGGTTTGTTTTTGGGCTGAAAATAGACAACCCATGGGCCAGTCGAGTCATTCGGGTAGGCCCGCAATCTGGAGCTTTTCTCAGCCTGCCCATTGTCAGACTGAGACGACGAACCATGGATGACATCATCATTCTTCTGAGATGAATGGTCATCCATGTCGTCTTCTGACAAAACATCCATTTTGTTCAACTAGTGGGAGCGCAAAACGCTCTCCCACTGAACGCACAGACACAATACACAGAAAACACTACAAACACAGAAATACAAAATGAAAATTTAACTAATGGGGGAGTAAAAGAAACAAGAAAAAAACAAAAACTTATCTGATAATCCTATACTACTACCACCGAGCGTTATATGTGTAGGCGTTTACACAGATGGCTGGGAAGCGACGCGCAGCGTGGATGACCTTCGCTGTGGTGCACTTGATCGAGGCGCGGCACTCAGCGCACACAGGCGCACGATGAATGATGAACGATATAGATGTAGAAACGGGTGCTCACACTCGATGATGATGATACGTGAGCGGGTATGCGTAAGCGCGTATGCGTGACCACGCAACGATGATGCCCAAATTGGTTTGCGAATTTTCAATAGCACGGATTAATCTTTCCGCAAATGGCACTTTCTACTAAAAAAACTCACTTTTCGATCAATTTACCGGGAACTATGCAAGGAGTCACTTAGTGAGAAAAAAACTGATAATTTATATCAAGCGAATACCGAAAAAACTTCCAAAACAACGGAGCGCGAAACAAGTCGACCGTACTTCTTGCTAGGACGCAGTGGGATTGTGATACTTCTGTTAATAAACTACAGAACGAAGTCAATGAGAACGCGTGATATGAAGGTTTGCACCAATTATTCTCAAAAAAAAAAGAAGCGCTCCGACCGAATCATTTTTTATCTTCATCCGATAAGCCGAAGTGAATTCATTGGCGTTTCAATGGCGTTTCAATGCGTTAGGCCGAGTTTGGTGTCAAGAAGCAGTATTAGACTTTTGAAAATATCTCAGCGATTGGTTTCTCTTTATCAAATCTTACGGTACATACGGAAAGGTAAATAAATGTGGAAGTAATAATAACATTCCGTTTGGTGCTAAACTGCGCTAGATTATGAAAGGCTAAAAGTGGGTTGTGCTTAATAGGCCGAAAATGGGGTAGTTAACCCTACTTGGTTCAAAAGCTACATGACAAAACGCATAAGAAGGCATAGTATGAATGTTTACTTCAATTGTTCTCAATTTCAGTTTGCATTGGTGCTGAAACTCAGTTGAAGTTGGTTTTTAGCTGAATTTTCAGAAAATCATGCATATGCCGTGTTAGCTCGGTAATATGTGCTGCCGAGCTCGAGTATTATTGTTAAGTGTATACCTTCCTCCATAGGGCTAAGAATATGCAATGCCATTAGTACGTAATTGAAAATCGTTGATCGATCTTGGAATCAAGATTTTAGATTTTTAACAAAATTGTCGAATTTATGACTATATTTAGAAGTCATCTTTGATGGAAACATTTCATTTTTGTTCAAAACCCGTTCGAAAAAGAGAGGCAAAGCGCGCGCTGTGTTTAGTAGAACGGAAATTATGACAGAATTGTTTTCAAATTCGGAAGTGGTTCAATCAACTGTATCGCTAGAAAGCAGCAATGTGTTAGCTGGCCGTCAATAGACGCAGAGTTCTCCGAGCCCAGTCTCATCCAGCTACGATACACGAAGCAGGGAGTCAAAGGAAAGACATCGATACTCGGTTCAACTTTGAGCGAGAATTGGTGTAACAGAAGTAAGACGAAATCATTAATCCTAATAAGCTCAAAGAACACCAAACCCCATCACAATTTCTTCACAAAAAATACTGGCGTTGTCATAACCACATATAATTATGACAGCATTCTGTCTATTGAATCACAGTAGTTCGATAATCTTCATACAATCTTCATATAATTTACTCAACATCTAAAACTTCTTCAATCATAACCACTTGTTGTCTAAACTAAAATTTAGTGCAATGAATTAAACTGGAGGGTTGTCTTGACGATTAAGAATGGTTTTTTTTTTTCAAAATGAAGCATCAATGGGATAACAATGCAGGTACATTCAATATGGGACTAATATGCGGGTACATGACTTGGTATTTTTCACGTTTTCTTCATACAAAACTGTAATTTCAGTTTTGTTTTTGAAAGTACGTTAAAAATAAACACCATTCCTGAGGTTATCTCGAAAGTGATGAAAAACAAAATGGGACTGATGTGCGAGTACCGGCAGTATATGACTGTTCTATGCTCATATCTGTGGACTTCCACCTACCTTATATTCCTCTCGTACATCACAGATAGTAGCATTGCTTCGCTCAGAAAACTGGGGTCCGGCGAAGAACACGTAGGGAGCGCTGTGCAATCCGCCAAGGAAGGTTAAACTGGCAATAACCAATTTCGCCCTACGCACTGTACACCAACTCTGACGCTTCAGCGGATAGAGGACCACTATGAAGCGCTCGAATGTGAACGCCACGACATACCACACCGATAGGAAACTGCTCAATCCACTAGAGAAGGTAAACAACTGACAGTACCCTTCACGCGTGTAGATATGGATTTGGAAGAAGCTCAACCATGTCACAAACAATCCCAATAGGAAGCACGTGTCACTAATCCCAAGTGCGGCCAGATAGTAAGATGAGGATAATTTCTTCAACTTGGTATGAAAAAACACCAACACCGACAGGATGTTTCCAATGCTGCCGCTCACCACCAGTGCCGGAGTGTAATAGAAAGTGAGGAAATCTCCAATCATGTAACCCCACTCCATAAAAGTTGAAGAATCCGTAGGATACTCCAATGGTGGAGTCCTATTTCCGGTCGACGATTGAAACCCTTGCCTTCGCACATCTTCACTGTCGAAGCACAAGTTTAATGCAAACTCATTTAAATCTTCCACATTTCCCTTGCAAAACTCGAAGCTAACGTTTAAGTTCAGCTTTCCATAGATCAACGAAGGAAAATTTTGACTTGTCATTGAGCGATTCATAATTAATTGATTCGCACGCTTTCAACACTCTTAAAACTTTTTTTTCTCCTCCCACATGAGCAGGACACCTATCTCAATCCATTCACTTCAAGAAAGTACGAACTGATTCGAACCGGCTTCCAGAGCATCTTCTCGATCCGTTTTCTAAAACTGAGTCCCGTTAGGCAAACTTTTGCTTCGACCGGCTTATCAGCGACTGAGGACTTTGCTCCACCACACGGCATGATAAATAACCCTTTGTACGAATTTACGCTCCCGAACGGATGAACTTAATTTGAGTTCCGATGAACTATGATTTGTGATGTAGTGCGCAGAATCCAATATCCTCGGAATCGGATATGCCTTCGTTCTTCGGTGTTCACCCGTCTGACTTCATTCAGTAGGCAGTCAAGTTCAAGTTCACTACAAACACCAGTTGCCTTCGAAGTCCTTTCGCGAATGGATGAGAAACAGTTCCAAGTCATTATTGCTTTTTCGTGATAAAAATAGGCAAACGTATTTTTCAAGTAGGTACCCCAGAACGGAAAACGACAATCGAGATTAATGGAGAGGGCGTTTGTAAAATGAAAAATGCGTGTCACACACGCGAGTAGCATTTAATCAAGCGAATAATGCCAATTCCGAGAAAAAGCATTGAATATTATACTGTTTAAACGACGGATGTCCAGCAATCCGACGCAGGATTTTTTCACAAAACTTATCAATGACAAGATAGTGGCTTCTTATTTGCATTTAGTAAAGAAAGAATTTTTAATTAAGCTCCACCTAATTCTAAGACTAATCATAAGACTCGAGAATTCAGTTAGTGCAAATCTGCTGATTTGGTGATGTAGTTTGGGGTTCCTCGCCTGTGCTAAGTGACTTTATATCCGATTTTTCACCAAAGAAGTGTCAAATTTTAAATTACTTTCGTTTATTTTATCACGAACTTAATTAAAAAGTCATTCTGCTACGAGCCAAAGAACGAGCCAAACACATCATGCAACACATGGAAACATTTGAGAATTCGACAACAAGATCAATGATGGTCATAGTGAGTAACCGGAACCAGATTGGCCTCGTCCTGTCATGCTCCGGATAACCCCGGTGAAGTGATCACTTTCTTATTCGAATCAAACCCCGTGCGACACTTCAAATCACATGAGAATTCAAAAAACAAGTGAAATGTGCTAATTTGATTAGATTAGTCGGGACCTACCACCACTCCGACCAGATGATCCGGATCTAATTGAAAGGTCCCGCTATTTATACCCTTCGGAGTGTTGAAACACCCTCCAAAGGCACACCCCTTCGTCAGTCAAAATTAGATTCCTTAGCAACAAAATTAAGGAATGACATTGATTATGACCATGCAAAAGAACCCTAGTCTTAACCACTTCAAACTACGAAACAACGAATAGAATATTAGGAATCACAAAGATGAAGAACTAACTCATTTTTTCCTTGTTTCAAGATCATCCTCGGTGGACAAAACCGAGTCTTGTCACTATCAACAAGGCATACAAAGTAACAAGGAATAAGATGTGTTCCTTTGGTTACTGAAAAATCCTGTTCCCCAAGTTTGAAGAAGTCAGGTAGTTTTTTTTTAATTAATAACGTTTACCGCATCATATTAATAATTATTCTTGATTCGCTTTATGCTACCATTGTAATAATTGAGTCTTGGTGTCTGAACGGCATCATCTGGAGATCTCCAGATTTTTTGTTTAAATTCAAAGGTTTAAGGTAGAAACACACCCCATAAACGTGGTATCTACGTGAAGTACTAAACGGTGTCCACAAACTGCATCACTTTCAAAAAGCTGTAACAAAGTGTGAAAAGTATTCCGTAGTATTCCAAACTAATCTAAAAAATCCGGATATGAAAATTTCAAACATCTGAACACCCCTCAAATCGCGATTAGAGCCATATTAATGGAGATAAATCGATTTAAAGGTTATGGAAACCCACCAGTCGACAAATAAAGGTTTATGAAATATTCTATACTAGGAAATCCGGATATGAAAATTTCGATCATCTGAACATCCCTCAAATCGCAATTAGAGCCATATTAACGGAGATAAATCGATTTAAAGGTTTCGGAAACCCACCAGTCGACAAATAAAGGTTTAAGAAATATTTCGAAATATTTAAAAATTTCGATCAACTGAACACCCCTCAAATCGCGATTAGAGCCATATTAACGGAGATAAATCGATTTAAAGGTTTTGGAAACCCACCAGTCGACAAATAAAGGATTATGAAATATTCTATACTGGGAAATCCGGATATGAAAATTTCGATCATCTGAACACCCCTCAAATCGCGATTAGAGCCATATTAACGGAGATAAATCGATTTAAAGGTTATGGAAACCCACCAGTCGACAAATAAAGGTTTAAGAAATATTCTATACTGGGAAATCCGGATATAAAAATTTCGATCAACTGAACACCCCTCAAATCGCGATTAGAGCCATATTAACGGAGATAAATCGATTTAAAGGTTATGGAAACCCACCAGTCGACAAATAAAGGATTATGAAATATTCTATACTGGGAAATCCGGATATGAAAATTTCGATCATCTGAACATCCCTCAAATCGCGATTAGAGCCATATTAACGGAGATAAATCGATTTAAAGGTTTTGGAAACCCACCAGTCGACAAATAAAGGTTTAAGAAATATTCTATACTGGGAAATCCGGAATAAAAATTTCGATCAACTGAACACCCCTCAAATCGCGATTAGAGCCATATTAACGGAGATAAATCGATTTAAAGGTTATGGAAACCCACCAGTCGACAAATAAAGGTTTATGAAATATTCTATACTAGGAAATCCGGATATGAAAATTTCGATCATCTGAACATCCCTCAAATCGCGATTAGAGCCATATTAACGGAGATAAATCGATTTAAAGGTTTTGGAAACCCACCAGTCGACAAATAAAGGTTTAAGAAATATTTCGAAATATTTAAAAATTTCGATCAACTGAACACCCCTCAAATCGCGATTAGAGCCATATTAACGGAGATAAATCGATTTAAAGGTTATGGAAACCCACCAGTCGACAAATAAAGGTTTAAGAAATATTCTATACTGGGAAATCCGGATATAAAAATTTCGATCAACTGAACACCCCTCAAATCGCGATTAGAGCCATATTAACGGAGATAAATCGATTTAAAGGTTATGGAAACCCACCAGTCGACAAATAAAGGATTATGAAATATTCTATACTGGGAAATCCGGATATGAAAATTTCGATCATCTGAACATCCCTCAAATCGCGATTAGAGCCATATTAACGGAGATAAATCGATTTAAAGGTTTTGGAAACCCACCAGTCGACAAATAAAGGTTTAAGAAATATTCTATACTGGGAAATCCGGATATAAAAACTTCGATCAACTGAACACCCCTCAAATCGCGATTAGAGCCATATTAACGGAGATAAATCGATTTAAAGGTTTTGGAAACCCACCAGTCGACAAATAAAGGATTATGAAATATTCTATACTGGGAAATCCGGATATGAAAATTTCGATCATCTGAACACCCCTCAAATCGCGATTAGAGCCATATTAACGGAGATAAATCGATTTAAAGGTTTTGGAAACCCACCAGTCGACAAATAAAGGTTTAAGAAATATTCTATACTGGGAAATCCGGATATAAAAATTTCGATCAACTGAACACCCCTCAAATCGCGATTAGAGCCATATTAACGGAGATAAATCGATTTAAAGGTTATGGAAACCCACCAGTCGACAAATAAAGGTTTATGAAATATTCTATACTAGGAAATCCGGATATGAAAATTTCGATCATCTGAACATCCCTCAAATCGCGATTAGAGCCATATTAACGGAGATAAATCGATTTAAAGGTTTCGGAAACCCACCAGTCGACAAATAAAGGTTTATGAAATATTCTATACTGGGAAATCCGGATATAAAAATTTCGATCAACTGAACACCCCTCAAATCGCGATTAGAGCCATATTAACGGAGATAAATTGATTTAAAGGTTTCGGAAACCCACCAGTCGACAAATAAAGGTTTAAGAAATATTCTATACTGGGAAATCCGGATATAAAAATTTCGATCAACTGAACACCCCTCAAATCGCGATTAGAGCCATATTAACGGAGATAAATCGATTTAAAGGTTATGGAAACCCACCAGTCGACAAATAAAGGTTTATGAAATATTCTATACTAGGAAATCCGGATATGAAAATTTCGATCATCTGAACATCCCTCAAATCGCGATTAGAGCCATATTAACGGAGATAAATCGATTTAAAGGTTTCGGAAACCCACCAGTCGACAAATAAAGGTTTATGAAATATTCTATACTGGGAAATCCGGATATAAAAATTTCGATCAACTGAACACCCCTCAAATCGCGATTAGAGCCATATTAACGGAGATAAATTGATTTAAAGGTTTCGGAAACCCACCAGTCGACAAATAAAGGTTTATGAAATATTTTAAACTGTGAAATCCGGATATAAAAATTTCGATCATCTGAACACCCCTCAAATCGCGATTAGAGCCATATTAACGGAGATAAATCGATTTAAAGGTTTTGGAAACCCACCAGTCGACAAATAAAGGATTATGAAATATTCTATACTGGGAAATCCGGATATGAAAATTTCGATCATCTGAACACCCCTCAAATCGCGATTAGAGCCATATTAACGGAGATAAATCGATTTAAAGGTTTCGGAAACCCACCAGTCGACAAATAAAGGTTTATGAAATATTCTATACTGGGAAATCCGGATACAAAAATTTCGATCATCTGAACACCCCTCAAATCGCGATTAGAGCCATATTAACGGAGATAAATCGATTTTAAGGTTTGGGAAACCCACCAGTCGACAAATAAAGGTTTATGAAATATTCTATACTAGGAAATCCGGATTTAAAAAATTCGATCATCTGAACACCCCTCAAATCGCGATTAGAGCCATATTAACGGAGATAAATCGATTTTAAGGTTTGGGAAACCCACCAGTCGACAAATAAAGGTTTATGAAATATTCTATACTGGGAAATCTTGATATGAAAATTTCGATCATCTGAACACCCCTCAAATCGCGATTAGAGCATATTAACGGAGATAAATCGATTTTAAGGTTTGAGAAACCCACCAGTCGACAAATAAA